GAGCTCCAGAGTCCACCAAGACCAAGGACTTCCAGAGGTCTGGACCAGGACCAGGACCAGGACTAGACCAGGACCAGGACTAAACAAGGATTAGACCAGGAGTCCACCAAGACCAAGGACTTCCAGAGGTCTGGACCAGGACCAGGACCAGGACTAGACCAGGACCAGTACTAAACAAGGATTAGACCAGGAGTCCACCAAGACCAAGGACTTCCCGAGGTCTGGACCAGGACCAGGACCAGGACTAGACCAGGACCAGGGCTAAACCAGGACTAGACCTGTTGCTCCTGTCTGTCGGCAGGTTCCAGGAGATGTGTTATGCGGCGTACCTGTCTCACCTGTCTCACCTGTCGCTCCTGTCTCACCTGTCTCACCTGTGTCACCTGTCGCTCCTGTCTCACCTGTCTCACCTGTCTCACCTGTCTTCAGCTCCTGTCTCACCTGTCTCACCTGTCTCTGTCGGCAGGTTCCAGGAGATGTGTTACGCGGCGTACCTGTCTCACCTGTCTCACCTGTCGCTCCTGTCTCACCTGTCTCACCTGTCTCACCTGTCTGTCGGCAGGTTCCAGGAGATGTGTTACGCGGCGTACCTGTCTCACCTGTCTCACCTGTCGCTCCTGTCTCACCTGTCTCACCTGTCTGTCGGCAGGTTCCAGGAGATGTGTTACGCGGCGTACCTGTCTCACCTGTCTCACCTGTCGCTCCTGTCTCACCTGTCTCACCTGTCTGTCGGCAGGTTCCAGGAGATGTGTTACGCGGCGTACCTGTCTCACCTGTCTCACCTGTCTCACCTGTCTCACCTGTCTGTCGGCAGGTTCCAGGAGATGTGTTACGCGGCGTACCTGTCTCACTTGTCTCACCTGTCTCACCTGTCTCACCTGTCACTCCTGTCTCACCTGTCTGCTCCTGTCTCACCTGTCTCACCTGTCTGTCTGTCGGCAGGTTCCAGGAGATGTGTTACGCGGCGTACCTGTCTCACCTGTCTCACCTGTCTCACCTGTCTCTCCTGTCTCACCTGTCTCACCTGTCTGTCGGCAGGTTCCAGGAGATGTGTTACGCGGCGTACCTGTCTCACCTGTCTCACCTGTCACACCTGTCTCACCTGTCTCACATGTCTCACCTGTCTCACCTGTCTGTCGGCAGGTTCCAGGAGATGTGTTACGCGGCGTACCTGTCTCACCTGTCTCACCTGTCTCACCTGTCTCACCTGTCACCTGTCGCTCCTGTCTCACCTGTCTCACCTGTCTGTCGGCAGGTTCCAGGAGATGTGTTACGCGGCGTACCTGTCTCACCTGTCTCACCTGTCTCACCTGTCTCACCTGTCTGTCGGCAGGTTCCAGGAGATGTGTTACGCGGCGTACCGTCACCTGTCTCACCTGTCTCACCTGTCTCACCTGTCTCACCTGTCTCACCTGTCTGTCGGCAGGTTCCAGGAGATGTGTTACGCGGCGTACCTGGCGATCCGGAGTCACGCGTCGCTCTTCATAAACCTTTTCTCTCTGATGCTCGGCAGCGGGATGCCCGAACTCCAGAGCTTTGACGACATCGCCTACCTCCGCAAGACCCTGGCCCTGGGTGAGACCAAGACCAGGACTAAGACCGGGACCAGACCAGGACTAAGACAGCACGAAGTATTAGTAGCAACAGTGTTTCCCTCAGACCAAGTAGCATCGTGTGGCCCCCCTCACACGGCCAAGGCCCCCCCACCGATCAGAATCTACAAAATACTGAAACATCATGAGTCTGTTTGGTGCATATGTCCTCTCAGAATTTAACCGAATTATACGTGGCTTTCTGAAAAATAACTCCGGTGCTCGATCATGAGAGACCTCTTTGGTTTCTGGCCCATTTATTGTGTGTGAGGAGCCCGGGTCAGACTACGGACCGGACCGGGCCGGGCCCAGTGACCACGACTGAAAGGTCCGGCACAGAGCTCCACGCCCCACGCAGCAAATCATCCGATTACAGTTTGTAAACACCCGGAGGAACAGTTCCTCGTTCCAGCGCCGCGGGCAGAGAGTCGAGTCCAGAGAGTAAATAGTGCAGGTCTTTCTGAAGTGCTCCCCCAGTGACCTGAGTGCAGCTGCTGATCTCTGAGACAGAAGAGCGGAAAAACAAAAAGGCAGAATCAATTTGTGGCGCTCGGTTTTCATTTTGTGGAGCTGCAGCAGGAACTGACCTATGTGTGGGAAACACTGTAGTAGTAGGAGTAGTAATAGTAACAGTAGTAGCAGTATTAGTAGTAGTAGTAGGAGGAGGAGTAGTAGTAGTACTATTATTATTGTTCTGTGTGTTGTTGTTGCAGAGAAGAGCCAGCAGGAGGCGCTGGAATACTTCAGTAAACAAATGAACGACGCTCATCACGGAGGCTGGAGCACCAAGATGGACTGGATCTTCCACACCATCCGACACATGCCCAACGAGCACTGAGAGTACCCACAGAGAGTACCCACATGCCCAACGAGCACTGAGAGTACCCACAGAGAGTACCACACAGTGAGAGTACCCACAACGAGCACTGAGAGTACCCACAGAGAGTACCCACATGCCCAACGAGCACTGAGAGTACCCACAGAGAGTACCCACATGCCCAACGAGCACTGAGAGTACCCGCAGAGAGTACCCACAGAGAGTACCCACATGTCCAACGAGTACTGAGAGTACCCACTGAGAGTACCCGCAAAGAACCTCTTGCACAGTTTCCATGGAAACAGGAAACAGCTGATGTCACACGGTCCTGTCCTTGTGCCCTCGGGCTGCACACTCTGCTCTTCTGAGTCGGTTAAAAACTGTTCAGTGTGTGAGCCGGACAGCCACAAGAGCAGCCCTCCACTCTGCAGAGTTTATGTGTCACAGGAGGAGGCGCTGTGGAGCTGTGTTCACACGAACAGAGACACGATAGAGACAGAGACGTGACAGAGACAGAGACGACAGAGACAGAGACAGACAGAGCAACAGAGACAGAGACGACGACAGAGACACAACAGAGAGAGACAGAGACGCGACAGAGAGACACGACAGAGACAGAGACAGAGACGTGACAGAGACAGAGACACACAGAGACAACAACAGAGACGACAGAGACGCGACAGAGACGCAACAGAGACAGAGACGAGACAGAGACAGAGACACAGAGACACAGACAGAGACACAACAGAGACGCGACAGAGACGACAGAGACGACAGAGACGACAGAGACGTGACAGAGACACAACAGAGACGCAACAGAGACAGAGACGCGACAGAGACGCAGACAGACGACAGAGACGACAGAGACACGACAGAGACAGAGACGACAGAGACACAACAGAGACAGACAGAGAACAGAGACAGAGACGTGACAGAGACAGACAGAGACAGACAGAGACACAGACAGAGACAGAGACGCGACAGAGACACGACAGAGACGATGACAGAGACAGAGACACAGAGACACGACAGAGACACGACAGAGACACAACAGAGACGTGAACAGAGACAGAGACAGAGACACAACAGAGACACAACAGAGACAAACAGAGACACAACAGAGACGACGACAGAGACACAACAGAGAGACGACAACAGAGAACGACGACACAGAGACACGACAGAGACGCGACAGAGACGACAGAGACACGACAGAGACGCGACAGAGACGACGACAGAGACACGACAGAGACAGAGACAGAGACGTGACAGAGACAAGACAGAGAGACACAACAGAGACGTGACAGAGAGAGACACAACGACAGAGACACAACAGAGACAACAGAGACGACAGAGACAGAGCGACAGAGACACGACAGAGACAGAGACGACAGAGACAGAGACAGAGACGACAGAGACGACGACAGAGACACGACAGAGACACGACAGAGACGCGACAGAGACAGACGCGACAGAGAGACAGACAGAGACGCGAACAGAGACAGAGACGCGACAGAGACACGACAGAGACACGACAGAGACGCGTCAGAGACGCGACAGAGACACAACAAAGACAGAGACATGACAGAGACACGACAGAGACACGAACAGAGACGCGACAGAGACAGAGACAGAGACACGACAGAGACGCAGAGAACAGAGAACAGAGACAGAGAGACGCGACAGAGACACGACAGAGACGCGACAGAGACGCGACAGAGACGACAGAGACGAGACAGAGACAGAGACAGAGACAAGACAGAGACGTGACAGAGACAGAGACACAACAGAGACACAACAGAGACGCGACAGAGACGCAACAGAGACGCAACAGAGACGCGACAGAGACGCGACAGAGAACACGACAGAGACGTGACAGAGACAGAGACACAACAGAGACGAGACAGAACAAGAGACGCGACAGAGACGACAGAGACGACAGAGACAGAGACGCGACAGAGACAGAGACGCGACAGAGACGACGACAGAGACGCAGAGACGTGACAGAGACGACGACAGAGACAGAGACGACAGAGACGTGACAGAGACGTGACAGAGAGACGACGACAGAGACAGAGACGACAGAGACGCGACAGAGACACGACAGAGACGACAGTGACAGAGACGTGACAGAGACGCGACAGAGACATGACAGAGACGCGACAGAGACACGACAGAGACGACGAGACGACAGAGAGACACAGAGACAGAGAGACAGAGACGTGACAGAGACGCGACAGAGACGACAGAGACAGAAGACAGACAGAGAGACAGAGACACGACAGAGACACAGAGACGCGACAGAGACGACGACAGAGACAGAGACGTGACAGAGACAAGACACAGAGACACAACAGAGACGTGACAGAGAACAGAGACAGAGACACAACAGAGACAGAGACGCGACAGAGACGCGACAGAGACACGACAGAGACACACAGAGACAGAGACGACAGAGACGCGACAGAGACGCGACAGAGACGCGACAGAGACGTGACAGAGACAGAGACACGACAGAGACAGAGACACAGAGACAGAGACAGAGACACAGAGACACAGACAGAGACACAGACAGAGACACGACAGATGACAGAGACGACAGAGACGACAGAGACGACGACAGAGACGCGACAGAGACAGAGCGACAGAGACACGACAGAGACGTGACAGAGACGCGACAGAGACATGACAGAGACGACGACACGAGAGACGACGACAGAGACGCAACAGAGACGCGACAGAGACGTACAGAGACAGAGACGACAACAGAGACGACAGACACGACAGAGACACGACAGAGACGCGACAGAGACGCAAGACAGAGACAGAGACAGAGACAGAGACGACGACAGAGACACGACAGAGACGCAACAGAGACGCGACAGAGACACGACAGACAGAGACAGAGACAGAGACAGAGACGACAGAGACAGAGACAGAGACAGAGACGACAGAGACGACAGAGACACGAGACAAGACACGACGAGAGACGACAGAGACAGACAGAGACGACAGAGACGACGACAGAGACGACACGACAGAGACGTGACAGAGAGACAGAGTGACAGAGACAACGACAGAGACACGACAGACAGAGACAACAGAGACACGAACAGAGACAGAGACGACAGAGACAGAGACAGAGACACGACAGAGACAGAGACGCGACAGAGACACGACAGAGGACGACAGAGACAGAGACACAACAGAGACAGTGACAGAGACACGACAGAGACGCGACAGAGCGACAGAGACACAACAGAGACAGAGACGTGACAGAGACACAGACAGAAACAACAGAGACGACAGAGACGAGACAGAGACGAACAGAGACGCGACAGAGACGACGACAGAGACGCGACAGAGAGAGACACAGAGACAGACAGAGACGACAGAGACAGAGACAGAGACGACAGAGACAGAGACGACAGAGACGCGACAGAGACGACGACAGAGACGACAGAGACGACAGAGACGACAAGACAGAGACACGACAGAGACAGAGACACAACAGAGACAGACAACAGAGACACGACAGAGACGCGACAGAGACGCGACAGAGACGACGACAGAGACACGACAGAGACGTGACAGAGACGTGAACAGAGACGCGACAGAGACATGACAGAGAGACAGACGCGACAGACAGACACGACAGAGACGCGACAGACGACAGAGACACGACAGAGACACGACAGAGACGCGACAGAGACAGACGACAGAGAGACAGAGACGAGACACGACAGAGACACGACAGAGACGCGACAGAGACGACAGAGACAGACAAGAGAACAGAGACAGAGACGACAGAGACACGACAGAGACACAGACAAAGACAGAGACATGACAGAGACAGAGACACAGAGAGACAGATAGAGACGAACAGAGACGCGAACAGAGACACGGACAGAACACAGAGAGACAGAGACGCGGACAGAGACACACAGAGACAGAGACGACAGAGACACGACAGAGACACGACAGAGACGACAGAGACGCGACAGAGACGCAACAGAGACAGAGACGTGACAGAGACACGACAGAGACACGACAGAGACGCGAACAGAGACGCGAACAGAGACACGATAGAGACGCGACAGAGACACAACAGAGACGCGGACAGAGACACAACAGAGACATGAGACGTGACAGAGACACGACAGAGACAACAGAGACGACAGAGACCGACAGAGACCGAACAGAGACGCGAACAGAGACACGATAGACGAAGAGAGACAGAGAGACGCGACAGAGACGCGAACAGAGAGACAGAGATGTGACAGAAGACACAGGCAGAGACGCGAACAGAGACGCGAACAGAGACGCGAACAGAGACACGAGAGAGACGCGATAGAGACGCGACAGAGACACAACAGAGACAGACACGATAGAGACGCTATAGAGACACGACAGAGAGAAGAGACACGACAGAGACACGACAGAGACCGACAGAGACGCGACAAACAGAGACGCGACATACAGAGACAGAGAGATGACAAGAGACAGAGACGCGACAGAGACACAACAGAGACAGAGACGCGACGAGAACAACAGAGAGACAGAGACGCGACAGAGACAGAGACACGACAGAGACGACAGAGAGCGACAGAAGACGCGACAGAGACGCGAACAGAGACGATAGAGACGCTAATAGAGACGCGACAGAGACACAACAGAGACGACAGACAGAGACAGAGACGCGAACAGAGACACGATAGAGACGCGACAGAGACAGAGACGCAGAGAGACGACAGAACAGAGACGAGAGACAGAGACGCGAGAGACACGACAGAGACACGATAGAGACACAACAGAGACGCAACAGAGACAGAGACGCGAACAGAGACAGAGAGACAGAGACACAACAGAGACGACAACAGAGACACGAGAGACGCGACAGAGACAGAACGAGAGACGCGAACAGAGACGAACAGAGACAGAAGAGACAGAGACACAGAGACGCGACAGAGACACGACAGAGACACAACAGAGAGACAGAGACATGACAGAAGACACAGACAGAGACGAACAGAGAACAGAGACACGACAGAGACGCGAACAGAGACACGAACAGAGACGACGCAACAGAGACGCGAACAGAGACACAGAGACAGAGACACAACAGAGACGCGAACAGAGACGCGACAGACGCGACAGAGACAGACGGACAGAGACAGAGACGACAGAGACGAACAGAGACGACAGAGACGCGAACAGAGACGCGAACAGAGACGCGACAGAGACAGAGACAGAGACACGACAGACACGACAGAGACGCGAACAGAGACGCGAACAGAGACACGACAGAGACAGCGACAGAGACCACGACAGAGACAGAACGCGACAGAGAACGGACAGAAACGCGACAGAGACAAGACAGAGAGAGACGCGACAGAGACGCGACAGAGACGACAGAGGACAGAGACACGAGAGACAGCAGACAGAGACAGAGAACAGAGACAGAGACACGATAGAGACACAACAGAGACGCGAACAGAGACAGAGACGCGAACAGAGACGCGACAGAGACACAACAGACAGAGACACAACAGAGACACGACAGAGACACAGACGACAGAGACAGAGACAGAGACACGACAGAGACGCGAACAGAGACGACGAGACAGAGACACGACAGAGACACGCAGAGACGACAGAGACACGACAGAGACCACGACAGAGACGCGACAGAGACGACAGAGAGACACGAACAGAGACAGACGACAGAGACGCGACAGAGACGACACAGAGACGCGACAACAGAGACACGACAGAGACGCAGACAGGAGACAGAGACACGAGAGAGACGACAGAGACAGAGACGCGAGAGACGCGACAGAGACAGAGACAGAGACGCGACAGAGACGACAGAGACGCGAACAGAGACACGACAGAGACACGACAGAGACGACGACAGAGACGACAGAGACGCAGACGACGACAGAGACAGAGACGACAGAGACAGAGACGCGAACAGAGACGACGACACAGAGACGACAGAGACACGACAGAGACAGAGACGACGCGACAGAGACACGACAGAGACGACAGAGACAGAGACAGACGACGAACAGAGACGCGACAGAGACAGAGACGAACAGAGACAGAGACAGACAGAGACATGACAGAGACACGACAGAGAGACGACGAACAGAGACGCGAACAGAACAGACAGACGAAAGAGACGCGAACAAGACAGAGACGACAGAGACGACAGAGACACGACAGAGACGCGAACAGAGACGCGAACAGAGACGCGACAGAGACGACATGACAGAGACACGACAGAGACGCGAGACAGAGACGCGAACAGAGAACGACAGAGACACAGACGACGACAGAGCGACAGAGACGCGAACAGAGACGCGAACAGAGACGACAGAGACGCGAACAGAGACGCGAACAGAGACACAACAGAGACAGAGACACAGAGACAGAGACGCGACGACAGAGAACGACGAACAGAGACACGACAGAGACAGAGACACGACAGAGACACAACAGAGACGAACAGAGACGACAACGACAGAGACGCGAACAGAGACGCGAACAGAGACACGACAGAGACGACAGAGACACGACAGAGACGCGAACAGAGACAGAGACGCGAACAGAGACGAGACAGAGACACAACAGAGACGACAGAGACGACAGAGACGACAGAGACAACGACAGAGACGCGAACAGAGACGCGAACAGAGACACGACAGAGACGACGAACAGAGACGCGACAGAGACACGAGACACAGAGACAGAGACAGAGACAGACACGAGAGACACGACAGAGAGCGACAGAGACGCGAACAGAGACACACAGAGACAGACGACAGAGAGACAAGAGACAGAGAGACAGAGACACGACAGACGCGACAGAGACACGACAGAGACACGACAGAGAGACAGAGCGGACAGAGACAGAGACGACAGAGAGACAGACGAGACAGAGACGACAGAGAGACAGAGACGCGAACAGAGACGCGAAAGAGACGACGCGACAGAGACACGACAGAGACGACAGAGAACAGAGACGACAGAGACACGACAGAGACGCGACAGAGACGCGACAGAGACAGAGACGACAGAGACACGACAGAGACGCGAACAGAGACGCGAACAGAGACGACAGAGACACGACAGAGACGACAGAGAACAGAGACGCGACAGAGAGACAGAGACGCGACAGAGACGCGACAGAGACGACAGAGAACAGAGACGACGACGACAGAGAGGACAGAGACACGACAGAGACGCGACAGAGACGCGAACAGAGACGCGAACAGACGCGACGAACGACAGAGACGAACAGAGACGCGAACAGAGACGCGACAGAGACGACAGACAGAGACAGAGACGACGAACAGAGACCGACAGAGACGCGACAGAGACGCGACAGAGACACGACAGAGACGACAGAGACAGAGACACGACGACGCGACAGAAGAGACAGAGAACGACAGAGACAGACACAGAGACGACAACAGAGACAGAGACGCAGAGACAGAGACGAACAGAGACAGAGACGAACAGAGACGCGAACAGAGACAGACAGAGACGCGAACAGAGACACGAGACGCGACAGAGACACGACAGAGACGCGAACAGAGACAGAGACGCGAACAGAGAGAGAACGACGACAGAGACACAACAGAGACAGAGACGACAGAGACGACAGAGAACAGAGACGACAGAGACAGAGAGACAGAGAGACGAGAGACACGACAGAGACACGGACAGAGAGACAGAGACACGACAGAGACGCGAACAGAGACGACAGAGACACAAGAGACACAGAGACGAACAGAGACGCGAACAGAGACACGACGAACAGAGACACGACAGAGAGACGCGACGAACAGAGACGCGACAGAGACGCGACAGAGACACAGAGACAGAGACGCGAACAGAGACGCGAACAGAGACATCGACAGAGACACGACACGAGAGCCGAACAGAGACGCGAACAGAGACGAACAGAGACGACAGAGACAGAGACGACAGAGACACGACAGAGACACGACAGAGACGACGGACAGAGACAGAGACACGACAGAGACGACGACAGAGAGACGAACAGAGACGAACAGAGACGCGACAGAGACGCGAACAGCGACACGACACGACAGAGACACGACAGAGAGACGAACAGAGAACAGAGACGCGAACAGAGACGCGAACAGAGAGAGACACGCGAACAGAGACACGACAGAGACGAACAGAGACAGAGATGACAGAGACGACAGAGACACGCAACAGAGACACGAGAGACAGAGACACGACAGAGACGCGACAGAGACACAACAGACGCGACAGAGACAGAGACACGACAGAGACGCGAACAGACGCGACGCGAACAGAGACGCGACAGAGACACGACAGAGACGCGACAGAGACGACGAACAGAGACGGACAGAGACAGAGACACGACAGAGACGACGACAGAGACGCGACAGAGACGCGAACAGAGACGAGACAGAGACAGAGACGACAGAGACAGACAGAGACGCGAACAGAGACGCGAGACAGAGACGACAGAGACGACAGAGACGCGACAGAGACACGACAGAGACGCGAACAGAGACGCGAACAGAGAGACAGAGATGACAGAGACACGACAGAGACGAACAGAGACAGAGACGACAGAGACGCGACAGAGACACGACAGAGACGCGACAGAGACGACGCGACAGAGACAGAGAGACGACAGAGACGACGAACAGAGACGCGAACAGAGACGAACAGAGAACAGAGACACGACAGAGACGCGGACAGAGACACGACAGAGAGAGACGCGAACAGAGACGCGAACAGAGACGCGAACAGAGACGCGAACAGAGACACGACAGAGACACAACAGAGACGAACAGAGAGACAGAGACGCGAACAGAGACGCAGAGAACAGACGCGACAGAGACGCGACAGAGACGCGAACAGAGAACGCGACAGAGACACACAGAGACGCGACAGAGACGACGACAGAGACAGAGACGCGAACAGAGACGCGAACAGAGACACGACAGAGACGAACGAACAGAGCGAACAGAGACGACAGAGAGACAGAGACAGAGACACGACAGAGACACGACAGAGACGCGAACAGAGACGCGAACAGAGAACGCAGAACAGACAGAGAGACACGACAGAGACACGACAGAGACGCGAACAGAGACACGACAGAGACGCGAACAGAGACGCGACAGAGACGACAGAGACGAGAGACAGAGACACGACAGAGAGACACGACGAACAGAGACGAACGAACAGAGACGACGAACAGAGACAGAGACAGAGACAGAGAACAGAGACGACAGAGACACGAACAGAGAGACAGAGACAGAGACGACAGAGACGCGAACAGAGACGCGAACAGAGACGACGACAGACAGAGACACGACAGAGACAGAGACAGACGACAGAACAGAGACGCGAACAGAGACGCGAACAGAGACACGACAGAGACGACAGAGACGCGACAGAGACGCGAACAGAGACAGAGACGCGAACAGAGAGACAGAGAGACACGCGACAGAGACAGAGACGCGACAGAGACGCGAACAGAGACAGAGACGAACAGAGACGCGAACAGAGACGCGAACAGAGACGAACAGAGACGCGACAGAGACAGAGACGCGAACAGAGACGCGAACAGAGACAGAGACGACAGAGACGACGACAGAGACGCAGAACAGAGACGAACAGAACAGAGACACGACAGAGACACGCGACAGAGACACGACGCGACAGAGACGCGGACAGAGACACGACACGCGACAGAGACGCGACAGAGACGACGACAGAGACACGACAGAGACGCGGACAGAGACGCGAACAGAGACAGAGACACAGAGACAGAGACAAGACGAACAGAGACGGACAGAGACGCGACAGACACGACAGAGACGACAGAGACACGACAGAGACGACGGAAACAGAGACACGACAGAGACGAGACAGAGACGCGAACAGAGACGATGCGAACAGAGACACAGAGACAGAGACGCGAACAGAGACGCGACAGAGACACGACAGAGACGCAACAGAGACGCGAACAGAGACAACAGAGACACGACAGAGACACGCGACAGAGAGCGAACAGAGACGACAGAGACGACGACAACAGAGACAGAGACGAACAGAGAACAGAGACAACAGAGACGACGAACGAACAGAGACACGACAGAGAGACACAACAGAGACGCGAACAGAGACGCGCAGAGAACAGAGACGCGAACAGAGACACGAACAGAGACGACAGAGACGACGACAAGAGACGCCGAACAGAGAGACGCGAACAGGACAGAGACGACAGAGACGCGAACAGAGACACGAACAGAGACGCGAACAGAGACAGAGACAGAGACACGACAGAGACACGAACAGAGACGCGAACAGAGACACGACAGAGACACGACGACAGAGACGACAGAGACGCGACAGAGACACGACAGAGACGACGAGAACAGAGACGAACAGAGACGCGAACAGAACAGAGACATCGACAGAGACACGCGACAGAGACGCGAACAGAGACGCGAACAGAGACACGACAGAGAGACGCGAACAGAGACACGACAGAGACACGACAGAGACGCGAACAGAGACGACAGAGACGACGAACAGAGACCGCGAACAGAGACACGACAGAGACGCGAACAGAGACGAACGAACAGAGACACGACAGAGACGACAGAGACGCGACAGAGACGCGAACAGAGACGCGACAGAGACACGACACAGAGACAGAGACAACAGAGACGCGAACAGAGACACGAACAGAGAACAGAGACAGAGACACGACAGAGATGCGAACAGAGACGCGAACAGAGACGCGAACAGAGACAGACAGAGACGACAGAGACAGACACACAGACACGACAGAGACGCGAACAGAGACACGAACAGAGACATGACAGAGACACAGAGAACAGAGACGCGAACAGAGACACGACAGAGACGCGAACAGAGACACGACAGAGACAGACAGAGACGCGAACAGAGACGCGAACAGAGACATGACAGAGACACGACAGAGATGCGAACAGAGACGCGACAGAGACGCGAACAGAGACATGACAGAGAACACGACAGAGACACGAACAGAGAGAGACGCGACAGAGACGCGAACAGAGACGACGAACAGAGACGAACAGAGACACGACAGAGACGACGAACAGAGACGCGAACAGAGACACGACAGAGACGACGAACAGAGACGAACAGAGACGCGAACAGACGACAGAGACAGAGACGACAGAGACGACAGAGACACGACAGAGACGAACAGAGACAACAGAGACGACGAACAGAGACGCGAACAGAGACACGACAGAGACACAACAGAGACACGACAGAGAGACGCGACAGAGACGCGAACAGAGACGACGAACAGAGACACGAACAGAGAGACACGACAGAGACACGACAGAGACGACGAACAGAGACACGATAGAGACACGACAAAGACGCGAACAGAGACACAACAGAGACACACAGAGACGCGGGACTCACCGGACTCACGAGATTTTTGGAGGCGACTGCAGTGTTTTCTGATCCAAGTGAAACGTTTCAAAATGTTTTTCTCAAAAACAATTTGAACTTTTGTAAAAACTACAAAATGTAGCAACAACACAAGTCTTCCACCTCCCTGTGTGTGTCAGGTCCCTCCTGTGTGTCAGGTCCTCCTGTCCCTCCTGTGTGTCAGGTCCCTCCTGTGTGTCAGGTCCTCCTGTGTGTCAGGTGTCCTCCTGTGTGTCAGGTCCCTCTGTGTGTCAGGTCCCTCCTGTGTGTCAGGTGCCCTCCCGTGTGTGTCAGGTCCCTCCCGTGTGTGTCAGGTCCCTCCTGTGTGTCAGGTCGGTGTGTGTCAGGTCCCTCCTGTGTGTCAGGTGCCCTCCCCGTGTGTGTCAGGTCCCTCTCTGTGTGTCAGGTCCCTCCTGTGTAGCATTAACTTTTAGCATTGAGCTAAACAGCAATAATCGACCAATCACTGCTGAGACAATCAGAGCGCAACCAATGAGACGATGCGATCTGCGTCACGTGACTCTGAGCTGCGTCACCATTGGTTTAAAGTAACGCAGCGAGAATCAGGGAACAGCCAATCAGCTGCCGGCGAGCACTTCACTCTGGACCAATCAGCTGCCGGCGTTTTGGGGGCGGAGCCTTGCACTAATCGAATTCTTGTGACAATGTTGAAAGAAATGAGACTTTTGTACGTTTGTGTTTTTGTGTCGTGTTTCTGGAGTTCAGATTTTAAATTAAAAATGTGATTTAAAATGTGAAAGTTTTTCATAATTTCTTCTAAAATAAAATGACGTCTTTTTTGTTTAAAGTTTAATCTTGAGCCGCGACGACGTAAACGGTTTGGAATAAAATATTGTCGATCAGGAGTTTTGTGGTTTGTGCATTTCTGAATAAAAACATGAGAAAATTTGTTTAAAAGTTTACAACTAACACTAAAGCAAACAACTAGCATGCTACTGCACATGTCCTGATTATCACACAATAAAAGACTTTATAATTGAACACAGACAGAACATTCCGGACTTTTTTTGACCTCAATAAATCTGCACATTTGACTCAAACACAAACTCACGACGGCTCTTTAAGGTTCAGTTTAGTTTGAGTTTAGTATAAAAATAAGATAAAACTGTTTTAATTTGGCAAAGGACAAATTTAACTCCTTTGTCGTGAAATCTGCCTGAACGACTGAGGGATTTTACACATGCAGTATCTGTAGTATTTGTAGTATTTGTAGTATCTGTAGTAGTATCTGTAGTATTTGTAGTATCTGTAGTATCTGTAGTATTTGTAGTATCTGTAGTATCTGTAGTATTTGTAGTATCTGTAGTATCTGTAGTATCTGTAGTATCTGTAGTATCTGTAGTATCTGTAGTATTTGTAGTATCTGTAGTATTTGTAGTATCTGTGTATTGTAGTATCTGTAGTATTTGTAGTATCTGTAGTATCTGTAGTATTTGTAGTATCTGTAGTATCTGTAGTATCTGTAGTATTTGTAGTATCTGTAGTATTTGTAGTATCTGTAGTATCTGTAGTATTTGTAGTATCTGTAGTATCTGTAGTATCTGTAGTATCTGTAGTATTTGTAGTATTTGTAGTATCTGTAGTATTTGTATTTGTAGTATCTGTAGTATTTGTAGTATCTGTAGTATTTGTAGTATCTGTAGTAGTATTTGTAGTATCTGTAGTATCTGTAGTATTTGTAGTATCTGTAGTATTTGTAGTATCTGTAGTATTTGTAGTATTTGTAGTATCTGTAGTAGTAGTATTTGTAGTATCTGTAGTAGTAGTATGTAGTATTGTAGTATTTGTAGTATCTGTAGTATTTGTAGTATCTGTAGTAGTATCTGTAGTATCTGTAGTATCTGTAGTATTTGTAGTATCTGTAGTATTTGTAGTATCTGTAGTATCTGTAGTATTTGTAGTATTTGTAGTATATGTAGTATATGTAGTATTTGTAGTATCTGTAGTATTTGTAGTATCTGTAGTATCTGTAGTATTTGTAGTATTTTTAGTATTTGTTGTATCTGTAGTATTTGTAGTATCTGTAGTATCTGTAGTATTTGTAGTATCTGTAGTATTTTTAGTATTTGTAGTATCTGTAGTATTTGTAGTATCTGTAGTATAGTGTAGTATCTGTAGTATTTGTAGTATCTGTAGTATTTGTAGTATTGTGTAGTATCTGTAGTAGTATCTGTAGTATTTGTAGTATCTGTAGTAGTAGTATCGTAGTAGTATCTGTAGTATTTGTAGTATCTGTAAGTATTTGTAGTATCTGTAGTATCTGTAGTATTTGTAGTATCTGTAGTATTTATCTGTAGTATCTGTAGTATTTGTAGTATCTGTAGTAGTAGTATCTGTAGTATTTGTAGTATCTGTAGTATATGTAGTATTTGTAGTATCTGTAGTATCTGTAGTATTTGTAGTATCTGTAGTAGTATTTGTAGTATCTGTAGTATCTGTAGTATCTGTAGTATTTGTAGTATCTGTAGTATTTGTAGTATCTGTAGTATCTGTAGTATCTGTAGTATTTGTAGTATCTGTAGTATATGTAGTATTTGTAGTATCTGTAGTATCTGTAGTAGTATCTGTAGTATCTGTAGTATTTGTAGTATTTTGTAGTATTTAGTTAGTATCTGTAGTATTTGTAGTATCTGTAGTAGTATTTGTAGTATCTGTAGTATTTTGTAGTATTTGTAGTATCTGTAGTATTTGTAGTATCTGTAGTATTAGTAGTATCTGTAGTATTTGTAGTATCTGTAGTATTTGTAGTATTTGTAGTTTCTGTAGTATTTGTAGTATCTGTAGTATTTGTAGTATCTGTAGTATTTGTAGTATCTGTAGTATTTGTAGTATCTGTAGTATTTGTAGTATCTGTAGTATTTGTAGTATCTGTAGTATTTGTAGTATTTGTAGTATCTGTAGTATCTGTAGTATCTGTAGTATTTGTAGTATTTGTAGTATCTGTAGTATTTGTAGTATCTGTAGTAGTATTTGTAGTATCTGTAGTATTTGTATTATCTGTAGTATCTGTAGTATTTGTAGTATTTGTAGTATCTGTAGTATTTGTATTTGTAGTATCTGTAGTATTTGTAGGATTTTCCAGTTTTTATTTGTTTTATTTTGATGCTTTACCTTCTTTTACCACTTGATGGCGCAGTGGAAACGCGCTGGTATCTGTGGCTAACCGCTAACAGCTAACTCCCATTTAGCTAGTTTAAAAAAGGTTTTGCAGCTCAAAGTCTTCAGAACCAGAGCTGAACCTTCGGAACCAACACCCGGATCCGCAGAACCATGAGACCACGGCCTTAAACCGGGTCTAAACCGGGTCTAAACCGGGTCTAAACCACCAGACCCCGTCAAGACCCCGTTTAGGCCCAGCGCCGGAAGTGCACTATGCGCCACAGCGGAAGTGCTTAGTTGTAGTCCGGAAGTGTTTCGAGCTGCGGGAGAAACGGAGGAAAAGAGCGAAAGTTGAAGAAAATGATTTTTTAAATCGCGTTTTTGATCCGGACCGAACCGGACCAGACCGGACTACAGCTCCGAACCACAGATGTGTTTATAATCCTGAGACGGGAGAGTTTTACTCACAGATTCTGTAAATACAGACGTTATTTTTACAGTTTTACACAAAGAAGTTTTTGTTTTACACAAATACGAAAAAAAACTCGAGGATTAACGAAGAAACAAAGAGGTGAAACCAGAACTAAACCAGGACTAAACCAGAACTAAACCAAACTAAATCAGGACTAACCAGGACTAAACCAGGACTAAACCAGAACTAAAAAGGTCTAAACCAGGACTAAACCAGGACTAAACCAGAACTAAACCAGGACTAAACCAGGACTAAACCAGGTCTAAACCAGAACTAAACCAGGACTAAATCAGAACTAAACCAGGACTAAACCAGAACTAAACCAGGACTAAATCAGAACTAAACCAGAACTAAACCAGAACTAAACCAGGACTAAACCAAACTAAACCAGGTCTAAACCAGGACTAAACCAGGACTAAACCAGGACTAAACCAGGACTAAACCAAGACTAAAGCAGGACTAAACCAGGACTAAACCAGGACTAAACCAGGTCTAAACCAGGACTAAACCAGGACTAAACCAGGTCTAAACCAGGACTAAACCAGGTCTAAACCAGGACTAAACCAGGTCTAAACCAGGACTAAACCAGGTCTAAACCAGGACTAAACCAGGTCTAACCTGACACACGGGGAGGTACAACAAAGTCTAATCCTCATGTTTTTCCCTGTAGGATCTAAGAGTCCGGTCCTGGTCTGGTCCCGGTCTGGTCCCGGTCTTGATCCCGATCAGGTCTGAGATGGAGGCCCCCCCTTCCCCCTGTCCACACCCCCCTCCCCCCTGTCTCCGCCCCCTCATCCTCTGAGTCCAGACTCTGTACTCGACCTGTCAATCACAGCAGAGCCCCGCCCACCCAGGACAACTAGACGAAAAGTGAGACTAAAGCAGGACTGAACCGGGACTGAACCAGGACTAAACCAGGACTAAACCAGGACCGGTGACTCTTGTTTTCTGATTGGTTGTTTCAGGTCCAACAGCCAATCGTGGGCCAGAGGAACAGTTGTCTCCGTGGTAACAGCTCTGCCATTGGTCAAGTCAGACCTGAGCCGGAAACGCCCAATCACACCCCAGAATCTGCAGCAACGTCCAATCAGGTCGCAGCGTGTCCGGAGGGGGCGGAGCTAAACACCACTCTGGCTCTCAGGGCGGAGCTTCAGTCTGTGCAGGTGAAAACACGAAAACATGAAACTGTTCTCTGATCTGTGTTCTGATGTTCTAAAGTTCTGATGTTCTAATGTTCTGATGTTCTGTTGTTCCTGTGACACTCGGAGCTGGACTTGTGTGTTTGTTTATTATGAGTTTGTTTCATCTCCAAAGCTCCAGACGCTCTGTTTCACCTTGTGATGTCATGAAGTTCTCAGCTCCTTTTCCCTTTAGTTCAGTCGAGGTCGGGGACTCCAGGACTGAAATGTTCCAGATGATTCTAGTTTAAAAACACAGTGGAGCTCTTCCTGTATCACCACATGATGACATCACAAGGTGGAACAGAGTGTTTCATGGTAAATGTGCAGGTTTGTGTCTGAATGTCTCCCCCAGCCCCTCGCCCCTCATAGCCCCAGACTCTGCAGCGACCCCCCCCCCCACACAGATTCAGACTCAGGTCACTGCAGTCGGGTCATGTGACTGTGGCAGGAAACCCTCAGTCTGACCCGTGTGAACGTCCCACGCAGCAAAGGATGATGGGAGTTTGCCCTGTGTGTGTAACTCTGGTGTTGTCCTGCAGGAGGCGCAGTGGGACGCAGCCAAAGCTCTGAAACAAAGTCTGGAGAAAAACCAAAGAAGTCAGACGCTCCTCAACTGCAGAGCGACGCAAGGTACGACCTGAAACTAACCTGCTCGACTAACCCGCTCGACTAACCTGCTCGACTAACCCGCTCGACTAACCCGCTCAACTAACCTGCTCCACTAACCCGCTCGACTAACCCGCTCGACCAACCCGCTCGACCAACCCGCTCCACTAACCCGCTCGACTAACCCGCTCGACCAACCCGCTCGACTAACCCGCTCGACTAACCTGCTCGACTAACCCGCTCGACCAACCCGCTCGACCAACCCGCTCCACTAACCCGCTCGACCAACCCGCTCGCCAACCCGCTCGACCAACCCGCTCGACCAACCCGCTCGAACTAACCCGCTCGACCAACCGCTCGACAACCCGCTCGACTACCAACCCGCTCGACCAACCCGCTCGACCAACCCGCTCGACTAACCCGCTCGACTAACCGCTCGACTAACCCGCTCGACTAACCTGCTCGACTAACCCGCTCGACCAAACCGCTCGACCAACCCGCTCCACTAACCCGCTCGACTAACCCGCTCGACTAACCCGCTCGAACCTGCTCGACCAACCTGCTCGACCAACCCGCTCCACTAACCCGCTCTCCACTAACCCGCTCCACTAACCCGCTCGACTAACCCGCTCGACCAACCCGCTCGACCAACCCGCTCCACTAACCCGCTCCACTAACCCACTCAACTAACCCGCTCTGATCTATAACTCACCCGCTTTTAACCCAGACTAACCCATATTCCTTGTCTCCTCTCTCTTCATCTACTAACCCCTTGTCTCCTTGTGTCCTTGTGTCCTTTCCTAGGCGTGTCGTTTCCTCGTCGTGCACGTCTGTACTCTGCTCTGGTGAGCGTGCACGTGTCGGAGGGTCATGTGATCAGACAGGCGGCTCTTCAGAGGCTCCCATTGGCCGCCGCTCCCAAAGCTCCGCCCGTTGCCTCCGCGGGCCCCTCCCTCCTGCCGCTGACCTCCGACCTCTACAGCAGGCCCCTCCCCCCGTCGCCCAGCCCCGCCCCCTGCATCCGGCCCCGCCCCCACAGTGCCCCCTTCAGCCTGTTCCAGAGACAACAGCGCTGGACCGCGGCGCCGTAAGACCCCGCCCCCCCGGCGGCGCCGTAAGACCCCGCCCCCCGGCGGCGCCGTAAGACCCCGCCCCCCGCGGCGGCGCCGTAAGACCCCGCCCCCCGCGCGGCGCCGTAAGACCCCGCCCCCGCGGCGGCGCCGTAAGACCCCGCCCCCCGCAGCCTGTTCCAGAGACGGTGGTTTCAAAAGTTTTCTGTTTCCTCATGAGACCTGAGTGACCTGAGTGACTAGAGTTGCACCTGGGACATGAAGTGTATTTGTATTTATATTTGTACTTATATTTATATTTGTATTTGTATTTGTCGTCGCTCTGACTTTTGTTTTTTCGATTTGTGGTTTAATAAAAACACAAAAAAGTTCCACATTCAACATTTTATTAAACTGTATTTGTTTTTTTACATCTCCATGGCAACAGGCTCCTGATTGGCTCATTCAGGGAGTCACAGCTTCAACACAATTGTCTGAAAGATAGTCCTGCTCTGGTCCAGACTTAGTCCTGGGTTAGTTCTTTAGTCCTGGTTTAGTCCTGGTTTAGTTCTACACATGCATAAATTCTGTTGTGCAGCTTTAAATTCTTAAAAAATAATAATAATAATCACAAAAACCTCAAAGAGTTAGAAATAGTCCAGGTTTAGTTCTACTCTAGTCTCAGTCCAGTCCTGGTCCACTTCTGTACATGTCAGTGATAGTCCTGGTCTAGTCCTGATGTGGTCCTGGGTCAGTAGGTGTGGGTGATGGTCCTGGTCTGGTCCTGGTCTAGTCCTGGTCTGGTCCTGGGTCAGTAGGTGTGGGTGGTGGTCCTGGTCTGGTCCTGGTCTAGTTCTGGGTCAGTAGGTGTGGGTGATGGTCCTGGGTCTGGTCCTGGTCTAGTCCTGGTCTGGTCCTGGGTCAGTAGGTGTGGGTGGTGGTCCTGGTCCTGGTCTGGTCCTGGTCTAGTTCTGGGTCAGTAGGTGTGGGTGATGGTCCTGGTCTGGTCCTGGTCTAGTCCTGGTCTAGTTCTGGGTCAGTAGGTGTGGGTGATGGTCCTGGTCTGGTCCTGGTCTAGTCCTGGTCTGGTCCTGGGTCAGTAGGTGTGGGTGATGGTCCTGAGGATCCGGTTTTCTTGTTCTAAGAGCTGGTTCTGGGTTTGTAGGTCTCTGATGGTCTCTCTCAGGACTTGGACCTCGTCTCGGACTGCCATCCTCAGGTGGGTCTTCACCAGGTCCTGCAAGAGTCCATAGACTGGGTTTAGTCCTGGTTCGGTCCAGGTTTAGTCCAGGTTTAGTCCAGGCCTTCACTTACCAAAGCCTGTTCAATTTTATTATCGATGGACGAACCACAGGATGAACTGAAAACACAAAAGAAAGTGAGATTAAGCCAGGACTAAACCAGGACTAAACCAGGACTAAACTGGGACTGAACCAGGACTACACCAGGTCTAAGCCAGGACTAAACCAGGACTAAACTGGGACTGAAACCAGGACTACTAACCAGGACTAAACCAGGGGACTGAACCAGGACTGACTACCAGGACCAGGTCTAACCAGGACTAAACCAGGACTAAACAGGACTAAACTACACCAGGTCTAAACTAACCAGGACTACCAGGACTAAACCAGGACTAAACCAGGACTAAACCAGGACTAAACTGGGACTGAACCAGGACTACACCAGGACTAAACCAGGACTAAACCAGGACTACACCAGGACTAAACTGGGACTAAACCAGGACTAAACCTGGACTAAACCAGGACTAAACCAGGACTACACCAGGACTAAACTGGGACTGAACCAGGACTAAACCGGGACTAAACCAGGACTAAACCAGGTCTACACCAGGACTAAACTGGGACTGAACCAGGACTAAACCAGGTCTAAACCAGGACTAAGCCAGGACTACACCAGGTCTACACCAGGACTGAACCAGGACTAAACCAGGTCTAAACCAGGACTAAGCCAGGACTACACCAGGTCTGCACCAGGACTGAACCAGGACTAAACTGGGACTAAACCAGGACTAAACCAGGACTGAACCAGACCATCAGTTTCATTTAAAAACTGCTTACCTGGTGCAGAGCCGCAGCAGTCCGCTCAGACTCCGCTCTGATTGGCTCGCACAGAGCCCGGCGCGCTCTGATTGGCTCGCACAAGGTCGGACACGCTCTGATTGGGTAAAGGGTTTGAGGGTCCGGGGTGGAGGGGGCGGAGTCTGAGGTGGGCGGGTCTTCGGTCTCGGCTCGTTAGCGTTAGCATCCATTGGCATCGTGCTGCAGTTCCTCGCTCCTCCTCCAGGTCCCAAAGTCCTCGGAACCTGGTTTAGACCCGGTTCAGTCCTGATTTAGTCCTGGCTTAGACCTGGTTTAGTCCTGGCTTAGACCTGGTTTAGTCCTGGCTTAGACCTGGTTTAGTCCTGGCTTAGACCTGGTTTAGTCCTGGTTTGTCTCTGGTCTTGTCTCCTGCACAGACTCGCCTCTGATTCGCTGCCCACTCGAGACCTCGCAGAGACATTCCCCTTTTCCCACTCAAACATTCCACTGGGACTAAACCGGGACTAAACCAGGACTGAACCAGGACTGAACCACAAATAAACCACGACTGGTTTAGTCCTGGTTTAAACGAGCTCAGTGGTAAATTGAAGTCTGCAGACGTATGAGCTGGAATCATCTCGTCTAATCACATGAACCCAGTGAGTCGGAGTCGTGTTGGAGTCGTGTCAGTCGTGTGTCAGTCGTGTGTCAGTCGTGTGTCAGTTGTGTGTCAGTTGTGTGTCAGTCGTGTGTCAGTTGTGTGTCAGTTGTGTGTCAGTCGTGTGTCAGTCGTGTATCAGTCGTGTGTCAGTCGTGTGTCAGTCGTGTGTCAGTTGTGTGTCAGTCGTGTGTCAGTCGTGTATCAGTCGTGTGTCAGTCGTGTGTCAGTTGTGTGTCAGTCGTGTGTCAGTCGTGTGTCAGTTGTGTGTCAGTCGTGTGTCAGTTGTGTGTCAGTCGTGTGTCAGTGTGTCAGTCGTGTGTCAGTCGTGTGTCAGTCGTGTGTCAGTCGTGTGTCAGTCGTGTGTCAGTTGTGTGTCAGTCGTGTGTCAGTCGTGTGTCAGTTGTGAGTCGGTGTCGTGTGTCAGTCGTGTGTCAGTCGTGTGTCAGTTGTGTGTCAGTTGTGTGTCAGTCGTGTGTCAGTCGTGTGTCAGTTGGGAAATGATGAAAACTGAGGTTTGGTTGTTGAATTGTTGATGAGCCGAACAGAACTGAACGACACAATGACACAGAGGAAGAAAACTGTGACGTTTTCAAATTTTTCCTACATTTTGTCAGACTTACGACAAACAGAGTCCAGACGAAGTTTCATCACAAGTTTCCAAACATGTTTCTGGTTTGTGACGTCAGCGTGAACTGATCCTGTGAACCCCGCCCCCTGAGACTATGACATCATCAGCGTACGCGCCGCAACACGAGTCGTTTAAAACACGACTCGTTTAAAACACGTGGAACAAAACGGTGTAAAGTGTTTTCGGAGCCGTCACATCTACAGTTGTTTCGTTGGACGTCACCGCCGCGTCATCACGACGTCACCGCCGCGTCACCGCCGCGTCACCGCCGCGTCACCGCCGCGTCACCGCCGCGTCACCGCCGCGTCACCGCCGCGTCACCGCCGCGTCACCGCCGCGTCACCGCCGCGTCACGCCGCGTCACCGCCGCGTGCCGCGTCACGCGTCATCACGACGTCACCGCCGCGTCATTACGACGATCGACTCCAAACAAAACTGTTCTTAATGTTCAGATCTGGATTTGGAACCAAAAGTTGAAGTAGAAACCCCAGGGTCATGTGGAGCGGGTCAAAGGTCAAAGGTCAGAGTGAGGGGTCACACTTTTCACACAGACTGAACTGGAGCCAGAGTCAGTGGAGCCCAAACACGCCTGTGAACACTTCCTGTGAGCAGGACAGACATGTGGGCGGGACTTATGTGTGTGTGGGTGGGGGGGCTGGATAGGGCGTGGCTTACCTGTGGGCGGGGCTGAAGAGGGCGTGGCTCAGGTGGAGGCTGTGAGGAGGAGACGACGGCTGAGAGCGACACTGCCTCAAAGTCTGAAACACAAAAGACTCTCACTGGATCTGACGAGACTGACACAGACCTGACACTGACACACAGGGACCTGACACACAGACCTGACACAGACCTGACACACAGGGACCTGACACACAGGACCTGACACAACCTGACACACAGGGACCTGACACACAGGGACCTGACACACAGGGACCTGACACACAGGGACCTGACACACAGGGACCTGACACACACACAGGGACCTGACACACAGGGACACACCTGACACACAGGGACCTGACACACAGGGACCTGACACAACCTGACACACAGGGACCTGACACACAGGGACCTGACACACGGGACCTGACACACAGGGACCTGACACACGGAGGGACCTGACACACAGGGACCTGACACAAGGGACCTGACACACAGGGACCTGACACACAGGGACCTGACACACAGGGACCTGACACACGGGAGGGACCTGACACACGGGAGGGACCTGACACACAGGAGGAGGGACCTGACACACAGGGACCTGACACACAGGGACCTGACACACGGGAGGGACCTGACACACAGGAGGACCTGACACCAGGAGGGACCTGACACACGGGAGGGACCTGACACACGGGAGGGACCTGACACACAGGAGGGACCTGACACACAGGAGGGACCTGACACACAGGAGGCACCTGACTCACCTGTGCGTCTGTGAGCAGCTGCAGGGGGCGGGGTTTGGGGGCGGGGTTGGGCTTGTGAATTGTGGGAGGTGGAGTCCCACTGAGGACTACAAACCCCGCCCCCTTCTCTCTTTCTCGTCCAATCAGCTCCAGCGACTCCAGGGAGTGGGCGTGTCTCATGCTGTCAATCATCATGACCCGTCGTAGTCCCGCCCCCAGCGACCCCACTTCCTGTTTGAGAAAAGACCAGACCAAGATCCAAACCAGGTCTAAGAAAACTAAAATATATGTGGATAAAGTATTTTAGTCCTGGTTTAGTCCTGGTTAGTTTAGTCCCGGTTTAGTCCCGGTTTAGTCCCGGTCCGGTCCTGGTCTGGTCCTGTACCGTGGGGGGCAGGTCCACACAGGTCCAGCGGCCTCGTTGGTGTCGCCCTCTTGTGTCCAGACGCACGACTCTGAAGCGATGCCCCAGTGCATCTTGGGACTGCGGGCGGCGAACGGAGGATTCTGATTGGTCGACGGGCTCTGACATCATCACACTGGTGATGTGGAAGCCCCGCCTCCGTTTACTCATGATGGACCAATCAGAGCTCAGCTCTGCAGAGACACAAGATACACAAATGAAGCACAAATGACACACAAATGACACACAAGCACAAATGACACAAATGACACAAATGACACACAAATGCACAAATGACACACAAATGACACACAAATGAAGCACAAATGACACACAAATGCACACACACAAATGAATGCACAAATGACACACAATGACACAAATGACACAAATGCACAAATGACACACAAATGCACAAATGACACACAAATGAATGACACACAAATGACACACAAATGCACAAATGCACAAATGACACACACAAATGCACAAATGACACACAAATGACACACACAAATGACAAATGCACAAATGACACAAATGAACACAAATGACACACAAATGCACAAATGACACACAAATGACACAAATGACACACACACAAATGACACACAAATGAAGCACAAATGACACACACAAACAAATGACACACAAATGACACAAATGAATGCACAAATGACACACAAATGACACACAAATGAAGCACAAATGACACAAATGACACACAAATGAATGCACAAATGAATGACACAAATGACACACAATGAATGCACAAATGACACACAAATGACACATAAATGACACACAAATGAAGACACAAATGAAGCACAAATGACACACAAATGAACACAAATGCACAAAGACACACAAATGCACAAATGACACAGCACAAATGACACACAAATGCACAAATGACACACACAAATGACACACAAATGAACACAAATGACACACAAATGACACAAATGACACACAAATGACACACAAATGACACACACACAAATGACACAAATGAAGCACAAATGACACACAATGACACAAATGACACACAAATGACACAAATGCACAAATGACACACACACAAATGACACAAATGACACACAAATGACACACACACAAATGACACACAAATGCACAAATGACACAAATGAACACAAATGACACACAAATGCACAAATGACACACAAAGCACAAATGACACACAAATGACACACACACAAATGACACACAAATGACACAAATGAAGCACAAATGCACAAATGCACAAATGCACAAATGCACAAATGACACACAAATGAAGCACAAATGACACACAAATGACAACACACACAAATGAAGCACACACAAATGAACACAAATGAACACAAATGCACAAATGCACAAATGACACACAATGACACAAATGCACAAATGCACAAATGACACACAAAGCACAAATGCACAAATGACACACAAATGACACACACACACACAAATGCACAAATGCACAAATGACACACAAATGAAGCACAAATGACACACAAATGAAGCACAAATGACACACAAATGCACAAATGACACACAAATGCACAAATGACACACAATGACACAAATGAACACAAATGAAGACACAAATGAAGCACAAATGACACACAAATGAAGCACAAATGACACACAAATGAAGCACAAATGACACACAAATGAAGCACAAATGACACACAAATGACACACAAATGCACAAATGACACACAAATGCACACACACACAAATGACACACAAATGCACAAATGACACAAATGACACACACACAAATGAATGCACAAATGCACACACACAAATGACACACAAATGCACAAATGACACAAATGAACACAAATGAAGCACAAATGACACACAAATGATGCACAAATGACACACAAATGCACAAATGACACACAAATGAAGCACAAATGACACACAAATGACACACAAATGAAGCACAAATGACACACAAATGAAGCACAAATGACACACAAGTGATGCACAAATGACACACAATGCACAAATGCACAAATGAACACACAAATGACACACAAATGAATGCACAAATGACACACAAATGAATGACACACAAATGACACACAATGCACAAATGACACACAAATGACACAATGACACACAAATGAAGACACACACACAAATGACACACACACAAATGACACACAAATGCACAAATGACACACACACAAATGACACAAATGCACAAATGACACACAAATGCACAAATGAACACAAATGACACACAAATGACACACAAATGAAGCACAAATGACACACAAATGACACACAAATGACACACAAATGAAGCACAAATGACACACAAATGACACACAAATGACACACAAATGACACACAAATGACACACAAATGAATGCACAAATGCACAAATGACACACAAATGAACACACAAATGACACACACACAAATGACACACAAATGAAGCACAAAATGACACACAAATGAATGCACAAATGACACACAAATGACACACAAATGAAGCACAAATGACAACAGTCAGGGGGGTCAGGGGGGTCAGGGGGGGGGTCAGGGGGGTCAGGGGGGTTAGGGGGTCGGGGGGTCAGGGGGTTAGGGGGGTCAGGGGGGTTAGGGGTGTTAGGGGGTCGGGGGTCAGGGGGTCAGGGGGTCAGGGGGTCAGGGGGGTTAGGGGTGTTAGGGGGGGGGGTCGGGGGGGGGGGTCAGGGGGTCAGGGGTCAGGGTTGTTTTTGACGAGGGTTGAGGAGTTTAGTTTATTTCTTGATTGAGACAGGGACAGTTCTCAGTCGACATGAACCTGAACAGGACAGGTGTTTTATTCCAGGTTAGGGTTAGGTCAGTAACATTTGCACCTGCCGCCCCTGTCGTCCCTGTCGTCCCTGTCGTCTCTGGGCAGGTTCACTGATTGTGTTTAATTGACCTGAGCTCCCAGCTGAAATCTGTAACATGTTTTGTGTTGATGGGGGAAAGTGAAGCGCCTGGAGGAAACTCATCCAGACACGGGCAGAACATACAAACTCCACACAGAAACACCAGGCGACCTGAACCCAAACCCCGGGGATCGAACCCGGAACCTTCTTGCTGTGAGGCACGAGTGACACTCAGCCACCAGCTCCACTTTCCCTTTAATTTTGGTTTTGTTTTTAGATGAGAAAATCTTTCTGTCAAAATCTGACATTAACAAAAATGAAATATTTGATCTGAGAAAATGAAAACGTGACAAAACTGTAACAGTTTTAATCGTTTAAATTTAAAGTTATTTATTGAAAGACTAAAAGTGTGAAAGTGACGCACTGACCTCAGCTGCTGCACAACTCCGAACAAACATCCAACAAAGCCCCCATTGTTCCCCCGAGTCCTGCTCCAGTCCTGGTTTAGACTCAGTTTGGTCCTAGTCTAGTCCTACTCTAGTCCTGCTCCAGTCCTTGTTTAGACTTGGCTCAGTCCTGGTTTAGTTCTGGTTCAGTCCTGGTTTAGTCCTGTTTCAGTCCTGGTTTAGTCCTGCTATAGTTCTGATTAAGTCCTGGTCCTGGTCTTGTGCTGAACTTTTCCTGAGACTCTGACGTTGAGCCCAAACTCACAGCAGTGTTTTGTGTAACAGCGCCACCTGCTGCTCACAGCGACTCAGCGCAGCCACAGAGCTCAGTCCTAAACCATGTGTCAAAAGGGTCACGTCCCTGTACAGACAGAATAATGCAGTGTGGGAGGGCATCTGACACACAGGAGAGGGTGGGAGGCATCTGAACACACAGGAGGACGGGAGGGCATCTGACACACACAGGAGGGTGGGAGGGCATCTGACACACACAGGAGGAGGAGGGAGGGCATCTGACACACACACAGGAGGAGGACGGGAGGGCATCTGACACACACAGGAGGAGGGTGGGAGGGCATCTGACACTGACACACAGGAGGGTGGGAGGGCATCTGACACAACAGGAGGAGGACGGGAGGGCATCTGACACACACAGGAGGGTGGGAGGGCATCTGACACACACACGAGGACGGAGGGCATCTGACACACACAGGGGGGGGGGGTGGGGGGGGGGGGGGGGGGGGGGGGGGGGGGGGGGGGGGGGGAGGGGAGGGCATCTGACACACACAGGAGGACGGGAGGGCATCTGACGGGAGGGCATCTGACACACACAGGAGGAGGGACGGGAGGGCATCTGACACACACAGGAGGGACGGGAGGGCATCTGACACACACAGGAGGTGGGAGGGCATCTGACACACAGGAGGAGGACGGGAGGCATCTGACACACACAGGAGGAGGAGGGCATCTGACACACACACGAGGGGAGGGCATCTGACACACGGAGGGCACACACACAGGAGGAGGAGGGCATCTGACACACAGGAGGAGGGGAGGCATCTGACACACAGGAGGGAGGGTGGGGAGGGCATCTGACACACACAGGAGGACGGGAGGGCATCTGACACACAGGAGGAGGGTGGGAGGGCATCTGACACACACAGGAGGAGGGTGGGAGGGCATCTGACACACACAGGAGGAGGGTGGGAGGGCATCTGACACACACAGGAGGAGGAGGGCATCTGACACACAGGAGGAGGGCATCTGACACACAGGAGGGTGGGAGGGCATCTGACACACACAGGAGGAGAGGCATCTGACACACGAGGACGGGAGGGCATCTGACACACAGGTCACGTGTGTGTTATGTATGGTTCGTGCGCGCGGTGCATCGGTCCACCGCGTGCACGTGACGTATGCTCGTGCGTCACTGGGGTGTGCGGTCATTGGGTGTGACGTCACGGATGTGTGGGCGGGGCCTGACTCCGCAGCCTCCGCGCGTCTCCGCGCTCCTCCATCATCTGCCGCGTCCATCGCTTCATCTGCGCGTCTCACCGCGTCTCACCGCGTCTCACCGCGTCTCACCGCGTCTCACCGCGCTCCATCCGCCGCGTCTCCGTCTCTCATCCGCCGCGTGTCCTCCGTCCGGACCGGGTCAGAATCATCCCGCTCAAACGCTCCGAATCCGCCTCTGATCCGCATCAGATTCGCGCAGCCTCCGCGGAAACAGCTGGAGCTAATCCGGACAGCGCCATCTTCACCTTCACTCTCCTCCTCTGTGAGCCAGGACTAGACCAGGACTAGACCAGGACTAGACCAGGACTAGACCAGGACTAGACCAGGTGTAAACCAGGACTAAACCAGGACTAAACCAGGACTAAACCAGGACTAAACCAGATCTAAACCAGGTGTAAACCAGGACTAATCAAGTCTAAACCGGGTCTTAACCGGGTCTCAACCAGGTCTCAACCAGGACCAAACCAGGTCTAAAGCAGAACTAAATCAGGTCTAAACCAGGACGTAACCAGGACTAACTCGGGACCATGTCTGGGGGCGGTGCAAAAGAAGAACCGCGCGGATCCAGTTGGGACTTTATCTGGAACCCGCGGACGCACGAGCTGATGGGCCGGACCGCCACGAGCTGGGGTGAGTCTGTCAGGTGTGCGTGAGGTGTGCGTGAGGTGTGCGTGAGGTGTGCGTGTGCGTGAGGTGTGCGTGAGGTGTGCGTCAGGTGTGCGTCAGGTGTGCGTCATGGGAGAACACTTGTGTTTAGTTACAGAAGAGTGAATACTGCAATAACATGTTCAAATACATGGGCCAAAAGAGTACTGCAGTCTGAGTACTTCAAACGGAGTACTGCAGTCTGAGTACTTCAAACGGAGTACTGCAGTCTGAGTACTTCAAACGGAGTACTGCAGTCTGAGTACTTCAAACGGAGTACTTCAAACGGAGTACTGCAGTCTGAGTACTTCAAACGGAGTACTGCAGTCTGAGTACTTCAAACGGAGTACTGCAGTCTGAGTACTTCAAACGGAGTACTGCAGTCTGAGTACTTCAAACAGAGTACTGCAGTCTGAGTACTCTAAATATATTTACATCAAATCACATGTAAATGATGTGAAAACACAGTACTCTAAAGTAACTGTACTCTAAAGTACAGGTACTCAGAAGTACCTGTACCCTGAAGTACTTGTACTCTGAAGTATCTGCACTCTGAAGTAACTGTACTTCAGAGTAACTGTACTCTGAAGTACCTGTACTCTGAAGTAACTGTACTTCAAAGTAACTGTACTCTGATGTAACTGTACTTCAAAGTAACTGTACTCTAAAGTACCTGTACTCTGAAATACAGGCACTTTGAAGTGTCTGTATTCTGAAGTACCTGTGCTCTGAAGTAACTGTACTCAGAAGTACCTGTACTCTGAAATAGTAGGGAGAGAGGAAGAGTAGAGGAAGAATCTGACCTGAGTCTGACACAGAGACTCTGCTGATGTTCACTCTGATACTGAACAACTGTGCCCTTGGGCAAGACACTTCCTTATTCTGTGTGAGAGTCAGTGACTGGGACATTTAACTATTTTATTATCCATCCATCCATCCATTTTCTTCCACTTATCCGGGGCCGGGTCGCAGGGGCATCAGTCTAAGCAGGGACTCCCAGACTTCCTTCACCCCAGACACTTCCTCCAGGTGTTCCCAGTCCAGAGACATAGTCCCTCCAGTGTGTCCTGGGTCTTCCCCGGGGCCTCCTCCCGGTGGGACATGAACACCTCCTGAGGGAGACGTCCAGGAGACATTAGAACAGACGTCCTCCCCTCAGACGCTCCTCTCCACGTGGAGGAGCAGCGGCTCTACTCCGAGCTCCTCCCGTGTGACTGAGCTCCTCACTCTGTCTCTAAGGGAGACGCCCAGCCACCCTGCGGAGGAAACTCATTTCGAGCGCTTGTATCTGTGATCTCGTCCTTTCGGTCACTACCCAGAGCTCATGACCAGAGGTGAGAGTAGGAACGAAGACTGACCGGTAAATCGAGAGCTTCACCTTTCGACTCAGCTCCTCTTCACCACAACGACCGATACAGCGACCGCATCACTGCAGACGCTGCACCTGTCCACCTGTCAATCTCACGTTCCGTCCTCCCCTCACTCGTGAACAAGACCCCGAGATACTTGAACTCCTCCACTTGAGGCAAAGACTCCCCACCCACCCGGAGAGGGCAAGACACCTTTTTCCGGTCGAGAACCATGGCCTCGGACTTGGAGGAGCTGATCTTCATCCCAGCCGCTTCACACTCGGCTGCAAACCGCCCCAGTGCTGCAGGTCCTGGTTCAATGGAGCCAACAGGACAACATCATCTGCGAACAGCAGAGATGATCCTGTGGTCCCCAAACCGGACCCCCTCCCGTCCCTGACTGTGCCCAGAACCTCTGTCCATAAACACAATGCACAGAACCAGTGACAGGGGCGGCCCTGGTGGAGTCCAACATGCACCCTTAGCAAAGGGCTCCGAACCCCATACTCCCAGTGCACCCCCCACAGGACACCACGAGGAACACGGTTGACTCTTCTCTAGATCCACAAAACACATGTGGACTGGTTGGGCAAACTTCCCATGAACCTCGAGCACCGATGGAGAGTGTAGAGCTGGTCCAGTGTTCCACGGCCAGGACCGAAAACCACACTGCTCCTCCTGAATCCGAGGTTCGACTATCGGCCGGATTCTCCTCTCCAGTACCCTGGCATAGACCTTACCGGGAAGGCTGAGAAGTGTGATCCCCCTATAGTTGGAACACACCCTCCGGTCCCCCTTCTTATACAGAGGGACCACCACCCCGGTTTGCCAGTCCAGAGGTACTGTCCCCGACCGCCACGCGATGTTGAAGAGGCGTGTCAGCCAAGACAGCCCCACAACATCCAGAGACTTCAGGTACTCAGGACGGATCTCATCCAACCCCGGAGCCTTGCCACCAAGGAGCTTGCCAACCACCTCAGTGACTTCGGCCAGGGTGATGGATGAGTCCACCTCCGAGTCCCCAGCCTCGGCCTCCTCCTCGGAAGGACGTGACGGTGGGATTGAGGAGATCCTCAAAGTTTTCCTTCCACCGCTGGACAACGTCCCCAGTCGAGGTCAGCAGCTCTCCCCCCGCACTGTAAACAGTGTTGGTGAAGAACTGCTTTCCCCTCCTGAGGCGCCGGACGGTTTGACAGAATCTCTTTGAGGCCATCTGATAGTCCCTCCCCGAACTCCTCCCAGCTCCGAGTTTTTGCTTCCGCAACCACACTAGCTGCAGCACGCTTGGCCCGCCAGTACCTGTCAGCTGCCTCAGGAGTCCCACGAGCCAACAAGTCCAGACAGGACTCCTTCTTCAGCTTGACGGCATCCCTTACTTTCGGTGTCCACCACCGGGTTCGGAGATTGCCGCTGCGACAGGCACCACAGACTTTACGCCCACAGCTACGAGCGACCGCATTGAGAATAGAGGCCGAGAATGAAGCCCACTCGGACTCCATGTCCCCAGACTCCCCTGGAATCTGGGAGAAGTTCCCAGAGGTATGAGTTGAAAGTCCCTCTGACAGAAGCTCCGCCAGACGTTCCCAACAGACCCTCACTACACGCTTGGGCCTGCCAGGTCTTTCCGGCTTCCTCCTCTGCCAGTGAACCCAACTCACAACCAGGTGGTGATCAGTTGATGGGGTCACAGGAAGATGCATTGGTTTTAGTTTGATGAGGTCACAGGAAGCCTCACAGTCTCATATAAGCGGCACCTTTACTTTTCTAAGCTTCAGGATTTTCACAATAAGCAGATGAGTTGAGCAGAAAGAGAAGGCACGACTCAGAGCCAGACCTGCTCCTCACAGAGCCAGAGCCGCGCCACTGTACAGGCAATATTATTATATTATTATTATTATTATTATTATTATTATTATTATTATTATTGATTCTCAGTATTACAGAACTTTACAGTAAGTGTAAAATTTAATGAACAAAGGACATCCACTACAAAGTCGATCATCGACCTCCGGCCTAGGGTGTCCTGGTGCCACGTGCACTTATGGACCTTGTGCTCGAACATGGTGTTTGTTATGGACAAACTGTGACTAGCACAGAAGTCCAATAACAAAACACCACTCGGGTTCAGATCAGGGAGGCCGTTCCTCCCAGTCACCCCTCTCCAAGTGTCACTGTCGTTGCCCACGTGGGCGTTGAAGTCCCCCAGGAGAACAACGAGTCCCCGGTCGGTGCACTGTCTAGTACCCCTCCCAGGGACTCCAAGAAGGCCGGGTACTCGAGTACTCTGCACTGCTGTTCGGCCTGTAGGCCGACACCACAGTGAGAGACCTGTCCCCGACCCGAAGGCGCAGGGACGCGTCCACCCTCTCGGGTTCAAAGCGGAGGTGAACTCCAAACACACAGCGTGCTGAGCTGTGGGGCAATGAGCTCCACACCGGCCCCCCACGTCGCTCCTTCAGGCTGAGCCCGGCCGGACCCTGTGGGGGAAGGCTCGGCCACCAGGTGCTCGCTGGTGAGCACCCACCTCAGGCCTGGCTCCAGGGTGGGGCCCTGGTAACGCTGATCCTCTGAGTGTACATCATCATATAAAGCTTCTGAACCGCCCTTCGTCTGACCCGTCCCCCCAGGACCTGTTTGCCTTGGGTGACCAGGGGCATGAAGCCCCCAACAACATAGCTTCCCGGGATAATTTGGGCACTCAAACCCCTCCACCACGATAAGGTGATGGTTCAGGGAGGTGGCAGTTATTATTATTATTATTATTATTATTATTATTATTATTCCATACTGTGGCCTTACCAGTTTGTCAAAGCCTGATCTTGTCAGATCTCTGAAGCTCAGCAGGTCTGGACTTGGATGGAGACGTTTGGAACATCAGGAGCCACAGGAGGCGCCAAAGCAAAAACTGTCATTGTGTCCTTAGGCAAGACACTTCACCCACATTGCCTAGGATGAAAGTGGTGTGTGTGTGTGAGTGATGGTGGTCAGATGGACCGATGGCACAGATTGGCTGGCAGCCACACTTCCATCAGTCTGCCCCAGGGCAGCTATGGCTACAATAGTATCTTACTATCACCAGGTCTGGAGTGAATGAATGATGATCTGTAAAGCAGCTTTGTGACATGTGTCTGTGAAAAGTGCTATAGAAATAAAAATAATAATAATAATAATAATAATAATAATAATAATAATAATAATAATAATATTATTATTATTATTACCACCTTTAAAAACAATTCTACACAAAAAGACCCTCCCCCCGACCAAAGTAGTGCCTCCCCCCGATGAATGTAGGTCACACACAAAGGATTAGCCCCTCCCCCTGACCCCAAGACCAGGACTGAACCAGGACTAAACCAGGACTATACTAGGACTAAACTAGGACTATACCAGGACTGAACCAGGACTGAACGAGTTAAATAATGTCCTTTGTTCATAAAATTTTACACTTACTATAAAGTTCAGTAATACTGAGTATCTATTATTATTATTATTATTATTATTATTATTATTATTATTATTATTATTATTATTATTATTTATTTTATTATTATTATTATTGCCTGTACAGTGGCGCGGCTCTGGCTCTGTGAGGAGCAGGTCTGGCTCTGAGTCGTGCCTTCTCTTTCTGCTCAGCTCATCTGCTTATTGTGAAAATCCTGACGCTTAGAAAAGAAAAGGTGCCGCTTATATGAGACTGTGAGGCTTCCTGTGACCCCTTCAAAATAAAACCAATGCATCTTCCTGTGACCCCTTCAAAATAAAACCAATGCATCTTCCTGTGACCCCTTCAAAATAAACCAATGCAATTCCTGTGATCTCTTCAAAATATAACCAATGCATCTTCCTGTGACCCCGTCAAAATAAAGCCAGTGCATCTTGTCGCTCATTTTCATCTTTGTCTGAAACAGAGGATTTCCATCTGGTCTCCCCAGGCAGAGTTAGGATCAGGTTAAATTCTATTGTGTCTCTGTTCTAATGTGAGGTTCAGGTCAGAGTTGTTCCACCGTTTGTTCTAATGTGAGGTTCATGTCAGGGTTGTTCCACCGTTTGTTCTAGTGTGAGGTTCATGTTAGGGTTGTTCCACCGTTTGCTCTAATGTGAGGTTCATGTCTGGGTTGTTCCACCGTTTGTTCTAATGTGAGGTTCATGTCAGGGTTGTTCCACCGTTTGTTCTAATGTGAGGTTCATGTCAGGGTTGTTCCACCGTTTGTTCTAATGTGAGGTTCATGTTCAGGGTTGTTCCACCGTTTGTTCTAATGTGAGGTTCATGTAGGGTTGTTCCACCTTGTTCTAATGTGAGGTTCATGTCAGGGTTGTTCCACCGTTTGTTCTAATGTGAGGTTCTGGCAGGTCTCATCTTCTTGTTCTACCTGGTGTTCTACCTGTTCCTCGCTGGAATGTTTGCCCTGACCATGTACGTCATGCTCCTGACACTCGACGACTACCGCCCCACCTGGCAGGACCGCCTCACTACACCTGGTAAGACTACACAACCACAATGCACCTGTCACTACACCTGTCACTACACCTGTCTCTGCATATGACAGGTTTTTATTCCCCGCTCTTCTCTTCTGATGCTCAGCTTATTGGTTTAGGGTTTATGGTGATTACATTTGATTTCTTGTTTTGTGATGTTAATGTCTTTCTGATTCTGTAAAACACTTTGAATACATTGTGAACAAATGAAGCCGTAAAAAGAAACCTGCCTAATGCCAAATAAATAAAGAGCCTTATTGTTCAAAGGAAAGATTCCAACCCGAACCCAGCGCATCTGTTCACTGTGTTTGGACAGACCTGAAACGCTGTTACTTCATTGTTCTCTGATTATTTGTGTTTAAAGGCATGATGATTCGTCCGAAGGGAGACCAGCTGCACATCGCCTTCTCTGTTTCCAAGGCGGAGTCGTACCGTGACCTGACTTCAAACCTGGACGTCTTCCTCTCACGTGAGAATCTACCAGTTTTCTATAATGCACTTTTTTGCCAATCAAAGATACTGAAATTTGGGGACCTGGTAAAATTTAAAACATGCCAAATTTAGTTTAAAGTGAAACTCAGAAAACATTCAAAAACTGTTCTGTACAAATGAATTCAAATACAACCTAAGAGGTCAAATAAAGAGCTGAGTGCTCCCGTGTGTTTGGCGCTGCTGCCTGAGCTCAGAGCTTCTGCTCCGGGCTGATGTGCAGTGAGTTTGTACAAAGTTCTACATGCTGCTGTTTCATGAGTGCTCCTGTGCTCAAACTCAGTTTATCTCACTTTACACGCAAACCTGAAAACTGAGTTTTCCAGAATCTTCACTCTAGCCTGAGTTTTTAGAAATTTTCGTTTTCAGAGGCGAATTCGCTGTTTGCGTGTAAACGATGGGTATAAACGAAGGGAAATATCTCCAGTTTTAAAAATACCCATGTACGTGTAAACGGGGCCTAATTCTACGACACTAACCCTAACGACACTAACCCTAATGACACTAACTCTAACCCTCCAAACTCTTGTGTGATTTTAAACGTGGCTCTTTCTCTCTGTTTGCAGCTTACAACGATAGTGTCCAAGCCCAAACCAACGACAACTGTCCCCCAAACCAGTACTTCATCCAAGAGGACAGTGGAGAGGTAAGTCCAACAGCCCGAACCCCTAACTCAGGTCAGACTCAGGTCAGACTCAGGTCAGACTCAGGTCAAACTCAGACTTAGATCAAACTCAGACTCACATCAGACTCTGGTCTTTCTTCATATGTTCTACTGTCTCAGGTGTTCTTTTTCTCTCTCAGGTGTTCTTCTGGGTCAGGTGTTCTTCCTCTGTCTTAGGCTACGTTCAGACTGCAGGGTTTAACGCTCAATTCCCGATTTTTTTGTGAAATCCGATGTTTTTGCGAGGTCGTTCACATTTCCAATTAAATGTGACTTGTCTGTCACTCCAGTGTCCCACATGTGACACTGGAGACACGACGACGTCAACCCCATGCGTCAACCGCAGTGAGCCTGATCTGCGTTTACGGAAGTTGTCCAAACATGGACGCGAGCATTGAGCACCTGGAGATTTTACAGTTCCGGTTTCCGCCTGCTTCAGCGCAGAATAGTGACGTTTGTCGCTTGTTGATGACGTGTAGGTCGGATGGATGCGCTTTGGCCGTTCAGACTGAAGTCGCATGTCAAAAGATCTGTCATTAAAAAATCGGATACAGGTCACATAGAAGCCAAAAAATCGGATTTGCGTCACTTCAGGCTTCAGTCTGAACGCAGCCTTAGTTGTTCTTCTGTCTCAGATATTGTTCTTCTGGGTCAGGTGTTCTTCTGTCTCTAGTCTCAGATGTTCTTTGGTCTCAGATGTTCTTTGGTGTTCTTCTTTGGGTTCAGGTGAGGAATAACCCAAAGCGCTCGTGTCAGTTTAACCGGACGGCTCTGGACCTTTGCTCTGGGCTCAGTGACTCCTCCTACGGCTACAGCAGCGGGCAGCCATGTGTGCTGCTCAAACTCAACCGGGTCAGATGCCCTCCCTGTGTGTCAGATGCCCTTCCCTCCCTGTGTGTCAGATGCCCTCCCTGTGTGTCAGATGCCCTCCCTGTGTGTCAGATGCCCTCCCTGTGTGTCAGATGCCCTCCCTGTGTGTCAGATGCCCTCCCTGTGTGTCAGATGCCCTCCCTGTGTGTCAGATGCCCTGTCAGATGTGTGTCAGATGCCCTTCCTGTGTGTCAGATGCCCTTCCCTCCCTGTGTGTCAGATGCCCTCCCTGTGTGTCAGATGCCCTGTGTGCCCTTCATGTGTGTCAGATGCCCTTCCTGTGTGTCAGATGCCCTTCCCTGTGTGTCAGATGCCCTCCCTGTGTGTCAGATGCCCTCCCTGTGTGTCAGATGCCCTCCCTCCCTGTGTCAGATGTCCCTGTGTGTCAGATGCCCTCCTGTGTGTCAGATGCCCTCCCTGTGTGTTCAGATGCCTCCCTGTGTGTCAGATGCCCTTCATGTGTGTCAGATGCCCTCCCTGTGTGTCAGATGCCCTTCATGTGTGTCAGATGCCCTCCCTGTGTGTCAGATGCCCTTCCGTGTGTCAGATGCCCTCCCTGATGCTGTTTGCTTGTGCTGCAGGTGATTGGGATGCTCCCAGGGAAAGATGGACAGTCTCCATATGTTTCGTGTGGAGCAAAGGTTTGTCTCTTTCTCTCACAGATCTTCTCATCTCTGGACCCAAAGCTCTCGCCTCCTTCGGTCAGAACATGTCCCTCAGTGGTGATGAGGGAGATGTTCTTGGGCTAGTGTGAGCGCACCCATAGATGCAGCGCTCTCTTTCGCTTCCACTCTCTCTCACTCTTTGTCTCATTCGTTCTCTCTCTTTCTTTCTCTCTCTCTGTTTCTCTTTTTCTCTCACTCTTTTTCATGTGTTTGTAGAAGGAAGATGTAAACGTTGGTCCTTTGGCGTATTTTCCTCCAAATGGAACATTCAATCTGATGTACTACCCATACTACGGCAACAAGGCCCAGGTGAGTCCTGGTCTGCTTCAGGTTTAGTCCTGATTTAGTCCTGGTTTAGTCCTGGTTTAGTCTTGGTTTAGTCCTGGTTTAGACCTAATTTAGACCTGGTTCCATTCTGGGTCAGTCCTGGTTCAGATCCTGTTTTGTGTGTTTTAGGTGAATTACACACAGCCGCTGGTCGCGGTGAAGTTCTTGAACGCGTCTCTGAACACCGACCTGAGCGTGGAGTGTCGCATCATCTCCAACACGCTCGGAGACGTCTACGCCAACGACAGGGACAAGTTCGCAGGACGAGTCTCCTTCACTCTACGCATCAATGCTTAGACTGACCTGAGGCCCAAGACCTGAGACAAACCCAAGACTAAAGACCAAACCTGGACCACAGACTGACCATGGACCAAACTTGGACTGACCTAAGACCAGAGCCATCCTCTTCTTCACTCTGCGCATCAATGCTTAGACGAAACAAGGACCCAATTTAGACTGAACCAAGACCAGTCTAGATCAACCCAAGACTAACTACAGACTTTCCGTAGACCTATGGCTCCAACCAAAAGCCACAGATTTAAGACCAGGATCAGTCCACAGACGTTTGAGATTCTTCTGACTGGAGACTTCTCATGATCAATAAACCAGAAAGATCAATCCCAGATGGACACCAAACACTCAGGATGAAGACCCGCTCTGAGACTCCAGGGGGCACTGTTCTGCAGCAGCTCAAACGTGAAAACACAATTGACAAACCTGTTTCAGATTAAATACAGAATCACACGAGACATCGACCCACTGAGTCCTGCTCCAGACCATCCAGATTCCCCCTTCATGTGATCCCAACTAGACCCTGTATAAACCAGTTACAATCCACCTGAACCTATCCAGAACTTCGACTAGACCGGTTACAATCCACCTGAGCCACAGCAGTCTACTGCCACCTACTGCCAAAGAAGATCACTACACACTGCCACTACTACTACTACTACTACTACTACTACTACTACTACTACTACTACTACAGTATACCTAGTGTGTACTTCCACCTACAGCTGCCAAAAGAACAAACTGTCCTCTTTCCATCACTGCCAGGACAAATAAGAACATGAAAGTACAAGAAACATATCGAACATGAACTACTACAGCCAATCAGATCCAAAAGTTGATCTGAGATTTAAAGTTTTCCTAAAGTTGTGTTTAAGGGAAAAAGTTCATATCCCAAATATATGAAATAACATAATGTGCCATGAAGCAAATCTCTGCGAGCACAAACGGCGGCAGCGTCTTAGCTACGCCCAATAAGTCCTATTAACTTTTACCAGAAGATGTTTGAAACATGCGGATGAAGACTTCCAGTGATAAAACAATAAAACTATGGATTCAGCAGCAGCGTCTTCACCTGCCAAAGCTTTACATGGAGACAGGACTCGGATCACATCAGTGTCACTTACAGGCAGCTTTTCATAAGAGTTGATCTGCCAAACATAACGGAACGCTACAGTGACACGTTTTTTTTTTGACAAATTATAATACACAAATTAATTCACATAAATACACAAATTAAAGGCAATTTATAAAAGCAAAAAAGAAAGAATGAAATAACATCTAGATGAAGAAAACCGGGACATGTTGTCAGACTTACCGTCACCAACAGAGCCCAAAGGAAGTCGTCATCTGCATGTTTCCAAACATCTGCCGCTTTTGTGACGTCAGCCTGAATAGAGCCTATTTATATCTACAGCCTATGCTTGTAACAGCTCAGTGTCACCAGTAAGAAACATCAAGACTTTTAGAAACTTGACAAAATTTTCTTTTGCTTTGTGTCCCACCACTGACCCTAACCCATGACTATAAACGCCTTTAACCTGAACCTTTGAGCCAAGGAACTGCACCGAGACCAAAGCAGATGTCACATAACACACTCCAATTGTTTCTATGACACCCACCCTTTGTATAAGCAAAACTAAAACCGGACCCTTTTCCTCTGACCCTAACCCCTGACCCCTAACCTCTTACAGATGACAAATAATAGACGCTTAATATTTCTAAACCCCTCTACGTCCCCCATGTACCCAACTTCTCGTACCCCATACAGCCGATAGAGTAGAAGTATCAGGAGTTTTGAGTATTTTGGATAGCAGGAGTATAAGAAGTATCAGTATCAAGAGTATCGGGAGTATCAGGAATTTCAGTATCGAGAGTATCAGCATCGGGAGTATCAAGAAGTGTCAGTATCGGGATTATCGGGAGTATCAGGAGTGTCAGGATTTTCAGTATCGGGAGTATCAGTATCGGGAGTATCAGGAGTATCAGTATCGGGAGTATCAAGAGTGTCAGTATCGGGAGTATCAAGAGTGTCAGTATCGGGATTATCGGGAGTATCAGGAGTGTCAAGATTTTCAGTATAGGGAGTATCAGTATCGGGAGTATCAGGAGTGTCAGTATCGGGAGTATTGGGAGTCGCTCTGAGCCACGGACCTCATGGATCAAACCAGTGACTGGAGAAAAGCACATTTTTAAAGCTGTAAACACAAAAACGTGACAATAACACGACGTAACTGTGCACTTTAACAGAACTGCACTAAACTCACTGTTTAAACCTGAGCCATATCTGCACCAATCACAGCGCTCGGTCACAGTCACATGACCCTCACTGTTTACACTATTTATTTAGATTTATGTCTTTGTGGTGTTTTCAATGTTTACATGTTTGTTTAAACCATTTGTTCTGATTGGACGGGAGGAGAGTGGACGTGAGGAAATCACTTTTTATTCATACTTTTAAATGATATCTGTTGTTGTTTTTGTCTGTTTTAGATCAAAGTAGGTTTGAATATTTTAGAAATAGAATTTATAAAGTCATAGATGTGTCCTGTGTCTCAAACCGCTTCATATCTCTGCAAAAAGAACATTTAAATTCTGTCATTTTTGTATGAAGCTAAAAATACAATACATAAGAAAAGAAGTCAAGGAAGCAAGGAGGCAAGGAAATAGGACATGGGAAAAATAAGGAGCCAGGATGGGATGAGGAGGAAGAGGAGGAGGAAGAGGAGGAGCTGAAAGCGGTTTGAGACAAACCTCACCTGTCAATCAAAACTACACAAATCCCACCCACTTGCCTGAAGCCACGCCCCCTGCTGGTGTTAAATGTGAAATGTTCAATAAACTGATCAATAAAAGAATGGAACCTCAGACTGTGTGGTTATTGGGCACATGCTCACACTACTTCACTCTAACGCTTCCATAGGTTTTCTGAGATTCCTTAAAAACTACTTCCTGTAAATTTCAACTTGTTTTCACCTTTTCTTCAAAATCTTCAACACGACTAATGTGAAACTGTGAGAAATATTTCGCACAGGAACTGTGTGATGCTAACTGTAGGCACTGCTCTGTCAGAAACTCTCTTAGACTTTAATCTGAGTTGTAATTTATCACAATCTAACCATAAAGACCTGACTTAGCTGAACTACGACAGGTGAGCTGATCTGTGCTCTTAAATACGTCTCTCTGACCCTGAACAGGAACATGAAGATGTGAGCTTTAAATCACTTTTTCTTTTTTTTTCAGATGATCTTAAAAGTTTTTTGACAGTGTTTGCTCATGTGCGCTTTATGTCTCCATGGAACCTCTGAACATTGTACCATAGAGATATGTGTAGAACCCCCCCACTGTGAGGTCACTGCAAAGGAGCAATAATTATTGTTCTACATTTGTAACTGGCTCAGATCTGCAGGGTCCTCCTGACCAGCACCAGGCTCAGGTCAGATTATAGACGCAGGAGGAGCAGGAGCCAAACTGGTCTAATGAGATTAGGCAAAGCTGTGAGGAGCGAGGCAGCAGATACCTCAGGAGTCCACATGCTTCTGTAGGTCCTACTCAGACCTGGACCAAACCCTCAACCAGGATCTCAGGAGTCCATATGCTTCTGTACATCCTGCTCAGATTCAGACCGGAACCAAACCCTCAAACAGGACCACAGTCTAGACCTGGACGTGTTTTACCACCAATGTGAGGAGCAGACACAGGTAATGGGCACCTGAACCTAACATTAGCACAAACCCTAAACCTGAACCTGAACCTAACCCAACCTAACCTAAACCTGTGGTCAGAGCTGTGGTCTATGGTCCATGATCTGTGGTCCGTGATCTGTGGTCCATGGTCTGTGGTCTGTGGTTCATGGTCTGTGGTCCGTGGTCTGTGGTTCATGGTCTGTGGTCTGTGGTCTGTGGTTCATGGTCTGTGGTCCATGATCTGTGGTCCGTGGTCTGTGGTTCATGGTCTGTGGTCTGTGGTCCGTGGTCTGTGGTTCATGGTCTGTGGTCTGTGGTTCGTGGTCTGTGGTTCGTGGTCTGTGGTTCATGGTCTGTGGTCTGTGGTCAGTGGTCTGTGGTCTGTGGTTCATGGTCTGTGGTCTGTGGTCCGTGGTCTGTGGTCTGTGGTTCATGGTCTGTGGTCCATGGTCTGTGGTTCATGGTCTGTGGTTCATGGTCTGTGGTCTGTGGTTCATGGTCTGTGGTCTGTGGTGGTCTGTGGTCTGTGGTTCATGGTCTGTGGTCTGTGGTCTGTGGTCTGTGGTCTGTGGTCCGTGGTCTGTGGTCAGTGGTCTGTGGTCTGTGGTCTGTGGTTCATGGTCTGTGGTCTGTGGTTCATGGTCTGTGGTCTGTGGTTCATGGTCTGTGGTCTGTGGTCTGGTCGTGGTCTGTGGTTCATGGTCTGTGGTTCTGTGGGTCGTGGTTCGTGGTCTGTGGTCGTGGTCATGGTCTGTGGTCTGTGGTTCATGGTCTGTGTTCGTGGTCTGTGGTTCGTGGTCTGTGGTTCATGGTCTGTGGTCTGTGGTTCGTGGTCTGTGGTCTGTGGTCTGTGGTTTCGTGGTCTGTGGTTCGTGGTCTGTGGTTCTGGTCTGTGGTCTGGTGTGGTCTGTGGTCTGGTTCATGGTCTGTGGTCTGTGGTTCTGTGGTCTGTGGTTCATGGTCTGTGGTCTGTGGTTCATGGTCTGTGGTTCGTGGTCTGTGTCTGTGGTCTGTGGTTCATGGTCTGTGGTCTGTGGTTCGTGGTCTGTGGTTCATGGTCTGTGGTTCGTGGTCTGTGGTTCATGGTCTGTGGTTCATGGTCTGTGGTCTGTGGTGTGTGGTCTGTGGTCTGTGGTCATGGTCTGTGGTCTGTGGTTCATGGTGTGGTCTGTGGTTCATGGTCTGTGGTCTGTGGTTCATGGTCTGTGGTTCATGGTCTGTGGTCCGTGGTCTGTGGTCTGTGGTCTGTGGTCTGTGGTCAGATCTCTGGTCAGTGAGTCGTGAGTGAAATGGAGTAAATCGTCTCATCGTTTCGAGTTTGGCCCAAATTCAAATCCTCCGGGTTTTGGCACCGTGTGTGTCACCGAACCATGAGATCATGAGTCATGTGACCACAACATCCACCACACACTGTCACTTCACCTGTCACTTTACGTTCTGTGTCGTGTGTGTGTGTGTGTGTGTGTGTGTCTGCTGTGTGTGTGTGTGTGTGTGTGTGTGTGTTGTGTGTGTCTCTGTGTGTGTGTTGTGTGTGTGTGTGTGTGTGTGTGTGTGTGTGTGTGTGTGTGTGTGTGTGTGTGTGTGTG